TGTGCTCTCCCTCCCCCAACTCACAGATTCTCTCTGTGCCTCATGGCCACTACCAGAGGACTGGGGAACAGTGTTGTTAGCAATTCAAACTGTCTCTTCTGTCCACTCCGGTGTGATTTTAGTGAGATGAAGTTGTTAAAACCAGGTACTATGATTGTTCACCAGATTTATGAAGGTGCTTTTTGTATCCATAGTTGTCAAATTTGGTTGTCCTGCTGGACTTGTATTCAATTATTCTACTCCTGCCCCCTCGAATTTTATTCTATTTTATGGCTGAATTGTATTCCATTGTGTGTATATATAGCACATTTCCTTTATCTATTCATCAGTTGCTAGACACTTCGGTTGATTTCATATTTTTGCTACTGTAAATAGTGCTTCAATAAACATATGAGTTCAGGTTTCCCTTTCATATGCTGATTTCTTTCCCTTTGGTTAGTTACCCAGTAGTGAAGTTGCTAGACCAAATGATAATTCTATTTTTAGTTTTTGGAGAAATCTACAGCTGTTTTCCATAGTGGCTGTACTAGTTTACATTCCTACCAACAATGTATGAGTTCCCTTTTCTCTGCATCTTCACCAACATCTATATTTTTTTCTTTTTAGTAATAGCCATTCTGACTGGGGTAAGATATCTCATTGTGGTTTTGATTTGTATTTCTCTGATGATTACTGACTTTTGAAAATTTTTTAATATATCTATTGACTATTTATATATCTTCTTTTGAGAAATATCTATTCATGTCCTTTGACCACATTTTAATTGAATTCCTTGATATTTCTTATTGAGTTGTTTGAGTTCTTTGTATATTTTGGATAATAATCCCCTCTCTGATGAATCATTTGCAATTATTTTCTCCCATTTAACAGGTTGTCTCTATTCTGCTTATTTCTTTTAGCATTCACAAGCTTTTTAGTTTAATTAAATATATTTAACTATTTTGGTTTTCATTGCATGTGCTTTTGAGATCTTGTCATACATTATTTGCCTTGGCAACATCCAGGAGAGTTTTCTCTTGGTTTTCTTCCAGTATTTTAAAAGTTTTGGGGCTTACCTTTACATCTTTGATCTATTTTTACTTGATTTTTATATATGATGAGAAATAAAGGTCACGTTTTATTCTGCATGTGGTGATCCAATTTTACAAGTACCATCTCTTAAATAGAATGCCCTTTTCCAAATGTAAGTTCTTATCAGCTTTGTGAAAGATCAATTGGCTATAAAAAAATATGTGCTTTATGCCTGGATTCTCTATTCTGTTCCATTAGTTTCGTCCGTTGGTCTATGTGTCTATTTTTATACCAATGCCATGTTCTTTTAGTTACTACAGCCACATAATACATTTTGAAATCGGGTAATATGATGCCTCCAGATTTATTCTTTTTGCTTGGGATTTCTTTGAATTTTTGGCTTTTTTTTCTTTTTTTTTTTGGTTCTGTATAAATTTTAGGATTGCTTTTTATAATTCTGTAAAAAATGTGGTATTGGTATTTTGATGGTATTGCATTGAATGTGTAGATTGCTTAGGGAAATATTATGATTTTAATATTATTCTGATCCATGAGTATGTGATGTTTTTCCATTTGTGCCATCCTCAATTTCTATAATCAGTATTTTTTGGTTCCTCTTGTAGAGATCTTTTACCTCCTTGTTGAAATATAATTCCTAGGCAATTTATATTTTTTGCAGTTATTGTAAATGCAAATTCCTTGTTGATTTCTTTCTTGGCTGGATCATTATTGATGTATGAAATGTTACTAATTTCTATTTATTGATTTTTTTATCCAGAAACTTTACTGAATTCATTTATAAATCAATAGTTTTTTGGTAGAGTCTTTAAGTTTTTCTGGATATAAGAGCATATTAGCAAAGAGAAACAATTTTACTTTTACAATTTAGAGATTTCCTATTTCTTTCCATTACCTGATTGCTCTGTCTAGAACTTCCAGTAGTATGTTCAATAGGAGCAGTGAAAGTGGGCATATTCGTCTTGTTCCAGAAGAAAGGCTTTTTCAACTTTTCCCCCTTCAGTATGATGTTAGTTGTGTGTTTGCCATATATGGCCTTTGTTATTTTGGTATATATTTCTTCTTTGCCTATTTTTTGAGAGTTTTTATCATGAAATGATTTTGAGTTTTATCAAATGTTTCTCTGCATCTACTAAGATAATCATTTGTTTTTTGTTCTTCTTTCTGTTGATGTAATGTGTTACATTTATTAACTTGCATATATTTAAACCATACTTGTATCCTTGCTATAAAACCCACTTGATCATGATGAATTATCTTTTTGAAGTACTGCTGGATTCAGTTTTATAGAATTTTATTATACATTTTTGCACATGTGTTAACCAGGGATATTGGCCTGTAATTTTCTATTTTTATTGGATCCTTGTCTTGTTTTGGTATCAGAGTAACTCTGGCCATATAGAATGAGCTAGGGAGCATTCCAATATTTTGGAAGAGTTTCAGTATGATTGCTATTGATTCTTCTTTGTATGTATGGTAGATTTCAGCTCTGAATCCATCTCATCCTGGGCTTTTCTTTGTTAGGAGACTTTTTATTACTTATTTAATCTAACATCATTATTCATCTGTTCAGGTTTTCTGTTTCCTCCTAAGTTTTATTACATTGTATGTTTCCAGGAATTTATCCATTTCCTCTATGTTTTCCAGTTTTTCAGCGTGTAGTTGTTCATAATAATCTCCAATGATATTTTGTATTTCTGTGGTATCAGTTGTGTCTCTGTTTTCATTTTTGATTTTATTTGGTTTTTCTATCTTCTTTTCTTGGTTGAACTATGAGCATTAAAAAATAAGTATAATGATAATTTTAAAACAAAATTTTAAATTTATTTTTATATTCTAGAAACTTATTCTATTACAGTTATTTGATTTTGGCCAAATATTTATTTTGGCACTTTTTTGCTGTTTAGTTAAAATGTATATTTACTTTATTTCTATTTATCAGTAAGGGTTAGTGCCTGGGCTTCCTCTTTAAAGTCCAGTTGGAAATTGATGCATTTCCCTTTTTAACTTATATCCGTTCACTGTGACTTAAACAGCTTTACCTTCTTATATCTGGCACAAAGCACACATATTGTTGGCCTCTATCACTCATGATGTTTTCTGCTATTGGAAGTCTAAAAATTTCAGCATGTACATCTGATTGAGAAAATCTCTCCCTCTTTCTCTTCTTCTCTCCTTCTTTCCTTTTCCACTATACATAAATATGTAGAAAGCTCAAACATTTGGAAAGCTCAACATGTTTTGGTATAGGCCTTAGGTCTAAAGAGTTTTCTTATTTGATCATTTACTCCTTGTGTCAGCATAGCTTGCTTGATTAAAAGCTAAGCTGATGTGAGTCAGGGCAAGGTAAACTTGAAGCTCCTGTTAGTCATGCTTAGTGAGGTCTGTCCTGCCTGAGCCAGTTAAAAACCCACACTAATATAAGTTTCTGCAATCAACCTTGGTAAAAACCCCACATGACCTGTAAAAGCATTGAAACCCATCTTCCTAGGCTGTGCCAGAAGCATAAATCTTTTCTTTCTCACTATCAGCTTAAGGTTTCCAACCTGTAACCCAAGATTTGGGGATGTCATGTTACCAATGAATTGGTTTTCCCTGAACACAAGATATAAAGTAGTTTAGTGATAAAGGAATAAAATAGAGAAAGTAATAAAAGCAGCAGTGTTACTACTGATAATGCAGAAAGATATCAGATTTTGAGAAGTTCTGAAGAGGTAATAATTATATTAGCACTATGAAACTAGACAGTCGTTAATCAGTGCACTGGTGAAAACCAAAGAAAAGCTGAATAAGTATCACCAATTTAAGGTAGCAAGTGAGTACTTCTTTACCAACATATGAATATACTTTCATTCTTACAAGAAAACCCTGAGAATAAGATAAAAACATATATTAAGAATAGCAGAACTCAAGAAAAGGCTAAATTCTCAACCAGCACATCTGCTATACTAGTATCCAGGTTGGGAAGGAGTAAGAGCCTAAGATTTGAGATGGGAACAATCTAGGTTAAATTACTTGACATTCTTGGGTCCTCAGATTTCCCTAAACGTTTTGGGCTTGCAAAATTAAATTCTCTCAGCAAATTTCCATTGCCACCTTGTGCCCCAACTTTCTGCCTTGCTTTCACCATAAACATTTTTCAGGATATATTCCAACTCCTTTTTAATCTCCAGCAAACAACTAAGTTTCAGTCACAACATAATATAGCAGAGAGAGTGCTGGATGTGCCAATAGAGGAATGAAACTATAGTATAAAAATGTCTTAGGACCTATAAAACATTTTCCTGAAGAAACTGGAAGAGTACCCATGACTGTAGAGTGATACACTACATAAGGCTGAGAGATCCACCAGCAGGTTATATTTCATTAGAAAATCCAGTGGATACTCCATTTACCAAGTGCTGAGATGTATGTTGGTGCAAAGGAATATCAAGTGACCATGTATCCATAATTGGTTAAATTATAATGCTTTGGTCAGACCCACCACGTCATAAGACTAAGCAGGTCTAGCAGCATTCTACAATAAATGGAAGTGGTGTATGCAGGAGTGGGCATGAGCAGAGATGAATGCACAAGTAAACTTCCCAGTAAGGTGGCCTATCCACCACTGTTTTAAGAGCATCTCTTCCTCCTTTCATACTGATGGCAGCATACGAGAGGCCCCTTATGACTAGATATCAGAAGAAGAGTCAGGAAGAGTAAAGTTTGTAGATGAGTGTATAGGGGAACTTATTTTCTGTATTCAACAAAGAAAATAGTTATGACCAAATGTGTGTGGCTTTTTCTCACATAAAGTGATTCAACAACTCTCCAGACACTAACTGGAATCCTATAGTTTAATTTAATTCTGACACTATCTATGTGAAGGTAGCATCAGATCTCAGAGGTTAAGGGCTTACTCCCACAAGACTGCTTCCAATTTAAGTGCCAGTCACAAGTTCTGGTTATTACTTGTGCTTCTGACTGACCAGCTGTTAATCAAAGGTTCCCATGACTTACTCCTTGGGTTCAATCATTTGCTAAAATAGCATACCTAACTTAGAAAAAGTTTACTTCCCAGATTACAGGCCTATTATAAAAGGATACAACTCAGGAACAGCCAGCTGGAAGAGATGCATAGAGCAATTTATGTGAGAAGGGACATGGAGGTTCCATGACCTTTCCAGATACCCTACCCTCCCAGCATTTCTACGTGTTCAGCAATCAGAAAGCTCTCTAAATCTCCTCCTTGGGGGGTTTTATGGAGGCTTAATTAATTAGGCATGACTAATAAAATCATTGGCTATTGATGATCAGCTCAATCTCCGGGCCCTCTATCTTGCCTTAATGATAGGTGGTGGGGCTAAAAATTACAGTCCTTTTATAACATGGTTGATTCCCCTGGCAACCAACTTCTATATTGAGGTTATCCAGAAGGCCAGCTATCAGCCACCTCACTGGCATACAAAAAGACACTTACACTTTAGAGTTTCCAAAGGGTTTAGAAGCTCCTGTGCCAGGAAACTGGACAAAAATGAACTATATATTTCTTATTATAAATTACAACAAAAAACTACTTCGCCAAAAGTAAACTACTGCAGCTAACAGTCCTGCTTCATGGTGGTCTTGAACATCATTGATTATGAGAAATCCTCCAAATGGGCAGTGCTTTAAAAGATGAAAATGGTCTGCCTCTATTTTTGGGAAAAACTTAGCTTGAGATAAGAATATAGCATCTCATGAGCAGTGGCAGATGGCTTGACAGGTTGAACAGTGTCCTGTCCAATCACTGATTGGATGATTAGTGACAAAGAAGACTGGGGAAGAGGCATGTGAATGGAGCTATGTAAGTGAGCATAAAAGGTAAAGGTTTTAGTATTATAAATTAATGCTTACTTGAGACTATACACAATGTAAGATGCACTTAACAACCAGTTATTCTAAATGATTTTGCTAGTAAGCAGCTGCCATTCTCTAACATCCAGTGTCTGTAGCTGGCAAAGTGAAGACATAGAGTAGCAAGAGTAGAAGCATAGGGTAAATGCCTAGAACCAACAGCATGCACTCCAACATGTCAGGCTGGCCTTGCCACCGCTTCTGCCAAACATCCTCCCTGCCAGCAACAAAGACTAACACTGAGTCCCAGTACATCATCATTTTTTTTTTTTTTTTGATATGGAGTCTTACTCTGTCACCCAGGCTGGAGTGTGAGTGCAGTGGCACAGTCTCGGCTCACTGCAACCTCCGCCTCCCAGGTTCAAGCGATTCTCCTGCCTCAGCCTCCTTAGTAGCTGGGATTACAGGCACGTGCCAACACGCCCAGCTAATTTTTGTGTTTTTAGCACAGACAGGGTTTCACCATGTTGGTCAGGCTAGTCTCGAACTCCTGATCTTGTGATCTGCCCACCTTGGCCTCCCAAAATTCTGGGAGTACAGACCTGAGCCACCATGCCCAGCCATATCATCATACTTTAAGAAAACCAACCAACTGCATGGTGGCAAGGTGATTACATTAGACCCCTTCCAGCTTGGAAAAGGCGATAATTCATTGTGGCTAGATTCATCATACATTCCAGGTATGGGCTTTTTCTTTCTACCTAAATGGCACTAGCCAGGACCACTATTCAAGGGAATACACACAGATACAGGATCCTACAAAGCCTCACATTGTACCAAGAGATCACCCTTATATTAAAGGAGATGAGGTAGTCAGCAAATGGCCGTGATTTCTCCCAAATACTACCTTATAATGCATCATCAAAAAAGTTGTTGGTTTGACGTATAAATTGACCAAGATTTTTTTTTTCTTTTGAGACAGAGTCTCACTCTGTCGCCAGCCTGGGGTGCAATGGCATGATGTTGGCTCACTGCAACCTCTGCCTCCTGCATTCAAGTGATTCTCCTGCCTCAGCCTCCAAAGTAGCTGGGACTGCAGTTGTGCACCACCACGCCCAGCTAATTTTTATATTTTTAGTAAAGACAGGGTTTTCCCATGTTGACCAGGCTAGCCCTGATCTCTTGACCGCATGATTGACCTGCCTTGGCCTCCCAAAGAGCTGGGATTACAGGTGTGAGCCACCACACCTGGCTGAAATAGAACAAGATTTTAAAGGTGCAGCTCAAGTACTAATTTGAATATGATAACCTGTGACAGTGGAGTGCCTTTGCCACTGTATACAACGCAAATTAATTAGCATTGTATGGTACTGTGTGACAATATGTAGAATGCATGGGTGTACAAACCAGGTTGGGGGGAGTAAAAATAATGTTTTACCAGCATTTCTAAGGACCCATTGGAAATATCTGTACTTCCTGTCCCAATAATTTTAAGTTCTTCAGGACTGGATATTCTAGATCTCAGAGGAGAATGTTTCTATCAGGAAACACAGCAAAAGAGTCCCATTAAACTTCAGAGCTGTGGCTACTTCCCAGATGTTTCAGGCCTTTTGTACCAAGAAAGGAGCAGGCAAGGAGCTGGCACTATCCTGGCATGGGAAATGGACCTAATCATCATGAGCAAGTAAGGCTAAGGTTGTACAAAGGAAAAAAGAATACATTTGGTTCGAAGATGATCCACTAGATGTCTCCTCAGATTCCGAAGCTTAATTCTAATGGTGAATCGGCAAGTAAGTGGACAGTCATGGCCTATGGAATATATAGAATATCACACAGCAAATTTAGGGCAGATATCAGTTCATTTAAAATGTTGATAGACTTGTTGTCCAGAATCTGTTATTAGTACTGTAAGTACAAATGTGATTACATCAGCAAGCTGAGTGTGTATCCACCAGTTAGGAGTCAGCTCATGTTAACCAGGTGTATTGATCTGGGGCCCAGCAGAAAACAGGTGCCACATTCAAATAAGTTGACTAAAAATAATTTTATGAAGGAACAGTTTATAAATGTGTAAGCTGATTTAAAAGAATGCAACAAGAGATGATAGAGAATCCCTTGGATAATTACAACTGAAAACCACTATTACTGGTAGGCCTTAAAAGACAAGGGGTTGAGTGGTTGTCAGAACATGAGCAGCCCTATAGCTAAAGACCAGGATTCCTCTATTATGAACTTTGGCTTTAGAAAGAAAACACAGCCAATACCAACATGGAGCCTAGCAGGATGAAAAATGGAGAAATAAATTTTTGTTCTGTTTATTTCTTCTTTCTGGTTTAATAATAGCCTTACTGAAATATAGTGTACATGTCATAAAATTCATGCTTTGAAAGTATATAATTTAGTGGCTTTTAGTATATTCACAGAATTATACATCTGTCATCACTAATTTTAGAACATTTTGTCATCCCCAAAAGAAGTACTATACCCCTTCTTCCCTCCCTCCAGAACCTGACAAACACTAATCTACATTCTCCTTCTGTTTATTTTCCTTTGCTGGACATTTAATATAAATACAGCCATACAATATTTGGTGTTTCTTTGACTTTTATTTTCACTCAGTGTAATTTTTCAAGGTTCATAATTGTTGTGCTATCTCTTTCTCCCACTTGTGCCATGCGACATGTAATCTCCCACTTCACCTTCCACCATGATCATAAGCTTCTAGAAGCCTCCCCTGAAGTAGATGCTAGTGTTATGCTTCCTGTACAGCCTATAGAACCATAGGCCAATTAAACTTATTTTCTTATAAATTACCCAATCTCAGGTAGTTCTTTATAGCAACGCAAGAACAGACAAATACAGTGGTTTAGTAAAGGATATAAGGTGGCTCACAGTTTTGTGAGGTCTAAAGAAAGCAACTAGGAGCTAGCACACCATACCAAGAAACACAGTTGTCTTAACTGGGAAAGTGCAGCTGATATGAAAGATACGAAAGCAACTGCTACCATAAATAAAGACTGGGAGCTGGACTTTGCCATCATTACTATTTTTCCAACTTTTCAATCACTATTTCTGTGACAGCAAGTAGTCCCTGCTTTCGCTGACACACATATGCCTCTTTTGCCAGCTGGGCCAGACAGATAGGATGGAAGATCCTCCTTGTCCTGTTTTGACACCCTGCTCAATTTTGAATGAAATTTGCTCATAGTGTTCTTTGTTGATAGATACAAAGGTCATATGTCTGTTCCTTGCTGAAAGGGAGGTTTGGAATATGGGATTCTGATTCTTATCTTTGTTGGATATGTAAACTTTACAATGTAGAAATTTCTTAAAATATAGAAAAAGTATTATTTGAAATAATGGGCAACAATTAATATGATTTATACCTCTACACATAGAAATAGCTGATTAATTAGGTAAAAGAAAGCTGGAAGCCAACCCCTCAAGAAGAAAGCTAACATGAAACAAAATGTTTCTAACAAAAAAAAAACCATAGAAAGCCTTGGGAATAGTATGCAAAATCTTTTCTCCCCAGGTTTGTTTTTTTTTTTTTTTTGGTGGTATGATTGAAAAAATAATCTTGAAATTTTTGTTCACCAGGTGAGTTTAACATTGGAGAATAGGTTGCAAATTTTTAAAAGGACCAGTGTGACCTTAAATCTCTTGATCCAACCAACAGTGTCTGCATACCTCTCCACCCCTGCCCTCCAGGTCTTGTAATTTATGTTCTGGAGAGGTTAAGCCAGAGAAGCTACAGACAAGAGGGCACTAGATACCACTGAAGACAGGGTGGGATGCCATAGTAAAAACAGGAGAATTAAGTGTGATCTGTTAATAGAACTGTGAGAATATCCCAACACTTGCTCCATTCTTGATATAGTTTGAGAAACCATTAAAAAGTTTCTGATTGGCTTAGGAGCAAAGGCCTAGAAATACTGCCACTTGAGGAACTCCTGATTAAATGGCTGGAATTCTTACCTATCTATTTGCGAAGGCCAATATTTTTATAAGCCTCATTAATGCACAAAGTATATATAATCATTTTACTGTTATCTCACTTGTAAATATATGTGGGCAGCCAAAAATTCTGGCACTTGGGAAACTGTAATGTAAAAAAGAGAGAAGAGAGAAAAAGAAAGGGAAAAAGGAATAGAGAAAGGGGACGAG